AACACAGACGAACATGTATCAACCAGGCAAACACTGCTGAGAAGCGGGATAGGAGAGAGAACAAGCACTGAAGAGCTACACAGCTACGCAAGTTATGCAGTCTCCCAAGACCCGATTATCAACAAAAGCACGTACGGTGCGTGCGTTGAGGGCACAGCATGAATGTGTGCAAGGAGTGCCCAACCCAACTCAGCCTCAGAGCCACTCTAAAAATAGTGTCTCTTGTCTGTTGAGAAGTCCTGCTTCTTCCAAGGAAATACCTGCATTCCCATTACTGATGAGGCGTTTCGGAAAAGTCTGGGCCTGCATCGAGAAACAACGCACCACACGGATCCCTTAGTGAATATCGCAAAGGAAGAAAACTCGTACAAATGCAGTTCCGAAAGAAAATCCCCTCGTGCTGTGCTCTGGAAAAGTCTGGGCCTACCTATTGTGTCCTCAGTTTGATTCTAGTTTTCATTTACAATATCATAGATGTATATATTCATATCTATATATTAATATTATAATTGAATACAATTGCAATATATTATGATATTATTTATGATACTATTATTATTCTTCTTATTTATTACAATTATATAAATATATAGCTTTATTCTACTCCATATTTCTATTTTTATCTAGGAGCCATTAGGACTACGACGGAAACTGGCCATAAATCTAGTCTCCAAAACCATAGGTTAAGAGTTTAGGCCCTTTAGGGTGTACTCAGGCTAGTATATATTTCAAATACAACGCATACGTGTTCCATTCAAACACAACGCATACGCGTTCCATTCGAATCGTCGATTCTTCTTCGGAAACTGGAATACAATGCGCATGCGTTATGTTCGGTGGAAAGACGGTATAGGTAAGGCAAATCATTGCTGTGCGAAGAAATCATGCCAATTGCCACAAGTGATGCCACAACCAGACAGAATACGCCAAAATGCAGAAAACATTTCAACCAAGGCCATTCTCATTTGTATCGCACTCGTTTTCGCAATCGGATCTGTTAAAAAAAACAGTACATCCGGGCCTCTCTTTTGTACGAGGCGGATTCCCGCTGCCAACCAAGCTTTGCCGAAATGCCACCGAGGTGGCATTTTGCTTTTGTTTCGGCTGTGGAGCCGCCCGCCATTTCGGTCCGGTTGCCCCGAGCCTCCAAAATTTTGGGAGAGTCTCGATCGTGCCTTCGTGTCACCACAAAATTCAGAAGTCTATATCATCATCCCCCCATGATTTCTGAAAAACAGGAATATTTGGCTCTAGCTTCAAATCAACGTCCTAGGGCCATGTACTGGTGCCGTGTAAAGACACGATCTCGACTTCCCGTCGTAAACCGAGCAAACCCAGAAAACCAAACCCCCGTAGCACTGTGTTCCGCAACCCACGAAAAAAACTTGTCAGTAGGGCTTCAAATCAATCTGAACGAGGGCTTCCACACAGCCTCCTGAAACCCTGGAGGCCCGTGCATGGGCCGCCAAAACGACATGCACAAGGCCCGTCAGATAATCGATTGGGCTGAGAAGTCTCCCACAGAGACTGGGGGAAACCCGGAGACCCAGCCGTAGGTCTCCACAACGGCACGCGACTTTTGGCAACGAGAAAATCCGCGAACTAGCCCTGAAAGTTCACAGCTGTGTGGCACCGTGTTCAGGTTCGGTAACCGAACCCGAACGTGAACCAGCGCCAAAACCCTCCAAACGCGAACATAAAAATATTATTAAAAAAAAAAAGAACAATCTCAGAAAAATCTGAAAAAAATATATGTTATCATTGTTATGTAAAATAATAATACAAACAACTTTTGCCTCGGAGGTATGCTCAAATTCGTAACCAAAGTCGAGTTAAAAATAAAGAACCCAAAAAAACTTAAAAAAAGAAGGGTTTTTTTTTTTTTTTTTTTTTTTTTTAAAGACGTTCGGCAGAACACGTTCGGGAGGCATTCGGCCGAACACCCGAACATGTTTGGACGTTCAGAAAAGCTCCGAACATGTTCGGTGTGTTACACAGGTTCACATATATGCCAAAATACGGCTTCAATCAATACCCCAAAACGCTGAGGGGGGTAGAGTGGAATACTCTACCCCTCTCAAATTTTAAAAGTTTGTGACGTACCCTTTCGGATTTAAATATCCGCCTTATATAGCCCTGTCAGGGGGTTGCTGAGTTTGTGCTATGCCCCTCTCGGGGTCAGAATGCAAACTTGCACAACACCCTGACACGGTAGATCGCAAAGATTTAACTTCATAACTTCATAAGGGCTTTTCACAAACTTCCAGAATTTCAGAGGGGTATTCCGCTCTACACACATCTTCTAGGGGTATTTTCGCATAAATGCCAAGTTTCAGGGAGTTTGCAAATTCTCCCTGTTTTCCCCCTATGAAATTTCAAAAGCTTGAGATCCCTTTTAGATTTTTAATCTCTGCATTATACACCTGTAAGGGGGTTGCCAAGTTTGTGCTACACGCCTATCAGGGTCAGAATGCAAATTGCTGCAACACCCTGGCAGGGTAGATTTGCAAAGATTCAACTCCTAAAATTCCGGAAGGCCATTTCACAACCTTTTGAGACCTCAGGAGGGGAATTCCGTTCTACCCACATCTTCTAGGGAGACTTTTACAATATATGCAGACTTTCAGGGGTATTTCGAATTTTTTCTTTTTTTTTTTGTGGGTGGGTAACTTCAGTAGAGTCACAAAACCGAGTTGTAACTGCATCATGGGGCAAGATACAGTTTGCAATTGCACTTTGGGCACCCTACCTGGCCAGAAAGTTGGGTTGTATACATTGCCTGAATTGCAATTCGAAACTGTACCTTGGCCCATAGTGCAATTATAACTCATATTTGTGACTCCCGCGTAGTTTTCCCCCCCTTTTTTTTTTTTTTTTTTTAACTTCTAGGGCTGGCGGCACCAGCCAAACGAGAAAAAAAAACTGCACCACCGACGGTTTGCAAAGGCTTCGTGGTGCACACTGCAGCGCCTCCAGGCAAGGGCTTACTGGTGGGTTGTGAGCCCACACAAGAAAGGCGAGACACTGGATCTCGTACTGCCCTGCATAAAAGAAACAACCGTGGAGGGAGTGGCGAGAGAGTTTTGGTGATAAATCATAAACATAATTGAATAATATTCTCAAATTCTCCATGAATCTAGGCTACCAGCCAGGGCGCCCGGGTCCCAGGTGGCCAGCCCGTGCAAGGACCAGGGAAGGTCTGAGCTAAAAAAAAAAAAAAAAAAAAAAAAAAAACCCGGAAATAGTTCAAAAAACTGAACAACTTTTGCCTCAGAGTGACATCGAAATTCTTCACAAAATTAGAATAAAAATAAAATATAAATTTATATATATATATATATTTTTTAATATTTTTTGGCCCGGCCGGGCAAGTGACCCCGGGCCACTCTGGTAGCCTATAGCCGTGAATAGATTATTATGGCACCCCGTGAGACATAGCAACAAGTTTATGACACATTATTATGCCACTCTGCAACCATCTTTTTTTTTCTTTCTTTTTTTTTTTTTTTTTTTTCTTTTCTTTGAACATTGCTCCACAGTCTATTCGGGGAGATTAATCTTCCGACCTGTGACTATTCGTGGAGATTAATCTCCCACCCTGTGAATTCCAGCTCTCCTTTTTTTTTCCTTCCCATGATACGATTATTATGCCAACCCGTGCGCTCGACAAAAGATATCCGAACCACCAAACATACGGGCCTGCATGAGAGACCATGCCTCACAGTGGGTGTGTGGTTTCCCAATCAATCAACCACCCACCAGGAGTCACACGAGGTTTTCAGAATGACTCACCAGCCTGTAAGAGCCTGGCTTCACCCCTCCACTGACGTCAATGAAGTCATACAATGCCTGCAAGTATGCAACAGTGAGAGAAAACCAGCTCTGTCAATCCATCTCGCACCCAATCAAATAGCCCATCACTAGTAAATACTCAATAAGTTAATAGTAAATACTCGACACGACAAAAACCAGGTACTTAGTGGTAGTGGTTAGTCTTCTGCATAACAAAAATGCTTTTCAGACTTTCAGTTTTTTTTTTTTTTTGGTTAAAAAAAATAAAAAATAAAAAAATTGCTGGGACCTTCATAGTCCTTGCACAGCTGGGCAGCCTGCGCAAACAAGGTGACCTGGGCGTCCCGGCTGGTAGCATAGCAAAATAGTAAAATTACTAAAATACTAAATAGTAAATATTAAATAATCATTTTACGAGCAATCAGCTTGAATCAGGCGTATTCCTCTTTGAACTCTTCCCAATTGCGTTTCCCTATGGACAGCCTGACGTTGGCCCATATTTCGTTTGCCCCCAGAAACAATACCGCCAGGTGATACGTCCGATTGCATTTTCCAACTGAAATGAAAAATAGCTTTAGATAATGAATTATACATCCAAAAAAGTCCTAAAAATTATATGATCCCAAGCCGATACTTGGCAAGTACCACCTCTTCCCGGTCCATCACATGGAAAACGAAAGCCTAAATTTGCTTTACCGGGTATGAGAGCTGGGTTTTCGTTCCTAGGTACCAATAGAAGATCCGTACATCGTAGCCCAAGCCCTTGTCCGCGCAATCACGAATTCGAACTGGCGACCTTGGCCCTAAGAGCAAAGACTCTTTTAAGTTCTTAAAACCAGTACAGCTTTTCCGAGGCAGAGCTCCCATCAATCTGCATCTTATTTTCTGCTTTTCCTTTTCGATGAAGACATGCATTGCCCGTCCGTCCATGGCACCAGGGACGAGATCCCTTGCCAAGTTGAGGGGCCGCTGAGTTACGCTGGTGCAGTTCCATTCGAGGGAAGAGCAACACTAGGGCCCCGGGCCCAGAGTCCTTTTCTTACATGAAGGGCAGTCCCACCATCAGTGATACAAGCCCAAGGCAACTTAAGGAAATATGAGAGAGCCTCTCCGAGGAGTTCGGAGGTTATGGGCACCAAGACCAAAATGGCTGGTGGCGCCAGCTACAATCAAAAACGAAAACACCACGCCAGCCTTTCGGCAAAGCGCGATGCGCAGGGGGAAGCCGCCGGCCTCGGATGTACTGGTGGTTTAAGCATTTGATCGCTCCATGAAACGAGGATTGAGTGGGAGAAAACCTGGAACATTTCACGGAAACCAGCAACATCTTCATCCCGATAAACTGCCCGTACCATTGCCGAGTGGGAAAATAGCGGGGCCTCGGGTGGTCCTCCGCCCTTTTAGGACGCCGAAACGAAACGACGGCCCCGATGAGATTTTTTTAAATGGCAGCCGTCGTCGTGCCCGGCCTCCGATTTCTTAGGAGTTTGGGAAAACTGCCAGCTTTCCCGATTCAGTATTTTCCCAACACTGGCGGAGGTACTAGTGCTTCAAGGGGGCAGAACAATCAATCATTGCCAGCTCCTGGCTTTTTTAAAAACAAGTTTAAAATTTCAACTTTAAAGTTTAAAAAGTTACATAAAAACATATTTAAAATGACTTTAAAATTTGAATTGTTCAGAATGATTCGAGGTAGTAGGGATCTATTCCAGAGAACACTAGAGAAACCTACAAGACCGCGAAAGACAGCACCGCCATCTAACAACATACCAATCTAGGAAAGAGAACCGCGAAAGACAGCACCGCCATCTAACAACATACCAATCTAGGAAAGAGAAAGGAGGTTTTTTTTTTTTGAGTTTCAAGTTTTAACTATGTTCCTACATTTTTTGTTTGTCCTTGTTCTTTTTCGCTCTGTCCTCAGGGTTATTTATGAAATTTCTGCTGCTGGAACAGTGGAATGTGCCAGTACATAGTTTGCTAAATGTGATTTCGCCGACACCCAGTAGGTCTAAAAACAACGCTGGGTACCGGACCCTTCTTTTTTGTACCCTCCCTCGAAAGTGAGAAGATGAGAAGATAAAGCAGTACCGGCCCATCGGAAAGTCGTACAGCCTGCGGTAGTGTACCATTGATGCACACGGTGAGGAGATAAACACCAATTGTAAAAGCCGACAGCTGCCGGTAGCGTACCATCATCGCGATTTTCATCAGTTCCCACAGCGAAGACAAAAACGCGGAGAGCAAAAATTAAGCCGGCCATGGCAACTTCACCCCAAGCCACTCCCTTTAGTCCCGCCGTGTCCGAAACAGATGCCTATGCTAGATATGGAGAGGTGAAGACCAGAAAGGAAAAGGCTTATTGAACTCGAGACGAAGAATCTCCACTGGAAGCAGGGTGAGCATATCCACCACCCGGTAGGTAATGTACTTGGTGCAAATCTGAACTGTTGAAGTACAGACCTGAGT